AATAGATAGATGTGAACTACGAAAATGAGCGTAAGTATGGCCTTATGGTAATAAACGCTGGTGAAAATGAAAACACAACAAAACTCGTCATTCGTAGAAGAAACATTCGACAGAATATGTTTGGAAAGTCCTAAAAAGTTAAGAAGTTAAAAGTTTAGATCTGCTAAGCAATTATTGAGGATACTTTGGGCGCAAACTATTCATAGCAATGTGGAAGAGATTATGGAGATGGACATTTCCAAGTAGTCTATTTATTGTGGAGCGGTTCATCTCCATATGACTTTTCGGATAACACTATTTGAAAGTATAAAGGTACAGATGCATCTCCTGCGCTAAAATAAGAATTGAGAAGGAAACCGTTTCTAAAATGCAAGTTTAGAAATAGTTCCCAAGATCGACTTTCTATTAACCTCGGCATTGGATTATAAATATCTCGCTTTCTTTCTCAGCAATCGCGAAAACGTCAGCTAACGTTGCGCTGTATGTGCTCATCTTGCAAGGAAGCAAACGTGTACTGAATAACAACCTCGCGATTGCTGAAGAAGAAAATGAGATATTTATAAGTTTAAAAAATTAAGCAAAATACAAATTAAGTCTTGATGGAGAGGCTCGTTTCCGCATCGTCGCCAGAGTGGAAAAATCAAGGGACTTGATAAAGATACATGCTCAGTGGGATGGCAGAACCATACAGCAAACCAATTCTGCACGACAAACGTGAAAAGTGATAGGCCAAGCCGAAATCAGATGAAACAGACGGATGGTGGGAAAATGAGCCTTCCCAATGCAATTCTCCGCGTCCGTGTTCTTTTCCAGCGTGTGTGATGACGATAAAGAACAATGTAGAACAACTCGTACAATTGTTATGCGTCGTGCTGTTTGCGCATGCCAGAATGGTATGATCGAAGAAATATCGAAAAGCTTTCATAAGGGCAGATGTGACATGAGCAAAAACAAAAACACGCTAATCGAATGAAGTCGAGCGAACGTGAGAAAATTGTAATAACTGTTGGACCTTTACGATTTTATCAGTTGTGAACTAAGACAACTATCACCAACGAAAAGATCGTAGAACAAAAATGGTACTACTGCCCACAGTGATACCCAGTACTTGAATATCTCAACTGAAATACTGTTTACGGTCGGTAGAAGTACGGCCAAGCAGTGCGCGTCCGCAAACGCCGCAAAAACGCTCCGCATCGATCAGCTAGCTGCGCGCGCGATACGTACGCGAGCTCTCCTTTAACATGAAGTGAAAATTCCGACGCCGAGGCAGGAAAACATACCTTCCAAAATAAAAGCAGGTATTCATAAAAAAAAATAGTTTGTATTATTGAAAATGCCACTATGATAATCCTAGAGGCTAATGGTTTTGTTTACATAAATGCATCAGATGTTGAACGCTGTTAGCAGTTCAGTGTTGTTCCTGCTATCGATTTTCGTGCGCGTCATAGAAATGCCGCGTGAAATAGTGCCTGAATTCGTGTCGACCTTGGAACCGCAGTGATTTTCACATCCATAGTGAGCTAGCAACGTTCGGAACGTCTGCGAAGACCTTCTGTTAATTTTAATCTTTTTTTGCGAAGACGAATTTAAATATGCGATCTGGGCCGTGAAAGACCGTTATCTCACTTGAGTTGCGTTTTATTTCACAGGTGTTGTGACAAGAGAGAATAATCACTGTTTCAATTCGAGTACATATCCATTTAACGTTGTGCGATACTTCCTCCATATGAAGACATTCTCAATCTTCTTTTTTCACGTGGTCCGTAATCACATTCGCTGTTCAGGTCCAACCAGTTCTGGCATTCGATGCGTCTTCCTGGCGTTCGTCGTTGGTCCTCAGTGGCCTCCGGACATTTCGCGTGTTGTTTAATCCGTTGTTTGAGGATTTCGTTTTCTTCGTGAATATCGTGGAATGCTGGTCGAGTCGATTCTTGCAGTCTTGGAGAAAGCCCGGCTCAAGCGTTCCTTGTGAATCTGGAGGAAAGCGTTGGGAGTGGGTTTAACAAGAGCCTTTGCTTTCTGGTAGACGCTGTCAGTAACCACTGCGATATCCCAACCCCTCATTCTCATTTTCAGTTTACTTCGTCTAATTCCACCATTTCTGAACATCGTTGACATTTCCAACCATCTAGAGAAATTTTACTGTTTTTGAATTTTGCTGTAAGTACGATAAATCCGCTTTTGCTTTTCTTATTTCCTATAGCTTTTGTGATCTAACGGAGGTATTTATATCATCGACTCATAAATATTATTTTGAAGAGTTTTCCAATAGACTCGCGAAATGCCACAAGAAATCGATGGTGCATTCGTATTGATATAAACAGATTTAAATGCCTACATTGTAGAGAATAATGTAGTGTTTCAAATTTAAATCAACACCAATTGAAACCAAACCCTCTAGAATATCTACGAAAAAGTATATGACACGTAGGACATGTGCGGCAAAGGGTTACCAGATCCCCTCTGCAGATCATTGCCATGGACGGCTGGTTGCTAATGACACCATTGGAGTAGAAAGACACGCTGAGAGAAAGGCAGAATGAGGGCTTAAGTGGTGCCGGGTGTAACATGTGAGTACTCGCAAAGGGTAATCGCGATTCGATCTGCTCTGGAGTCCAAGTTTTGCAAATATCTGAGTATCGTTGTGATTATACCGATAGTTCATTCCGAGAATAAATGAGAGTCAGTTTTCTAAAGTAAATATATACGTTGACAAACATATATATGTACATGCATACACAAATAATCTAAATAACTCATGTACCACGTGCTGCCTCGTATGCTGTTATATATAAGTAGACGTACTTCACAACTTTTTTAGAATAAGCAATGCTGGTACAATCTTTACAATCTGAAACACACAGAACTATTACTACAGTTGTTGGAGCTTAAAATTTCTATAAGCAGTACTCTGCAATACATGTTATTTCCATTCAATGACTAATAATCACAACTATATGCACTGTTTACACACAAAATACGGTTGCTATAACCGGAACGATGTGGAATCGGTTGAGGTAAAAAGCATGAAAACGACACTAAAAAAAACTTCGAATTCCATACAGAACAATGCGAAAAGTTGGTATAACCGTGGCTATGTGCTCTAAGCGTTCATTTTTTGACGGCTAATCAATGTTTCCAATTTCCATTAGGATATCGTCTAAGTGGACTCCTGTCCGCAGCACGTCTCCTCTCTAGTAATTTATGTTTCGAGAAAACAGACGATCCTCATTGAACATGAGAGTGCCCTAACGGCACGGTTCATGAGGAGATCGATCGCATTCTCACAAAGAGAAAATGGTGCCTCTTTTACAGCTCAGCTTAACTGGCATCTGAACTGGATCTGATCATCACGTTCTCGGCGTGAAGATTCCATCCAGTTCATCCCAGGATCGACTTTCTATTAACCTCGGCATTGGAATATGAATGCGTCGTTTTCTTGTTCAGCAATGGCGAGGTTTTTAAACAGCATACATTTACTTCCATAGAAAAACACAATACAATACAACACTAGCTGACGTTTCGGCAGTATCGCCTTCTTCAGAGCCGCTTTTTTCGTGACTTCCAATGAGGAAGTTTAGAACAGCTGATTATAGCCGCATATATGCGTCCAGTCACAAGATGAAAAAAAAACTCCTGTCTTCGTCCAAGAAAAAGGAAACAATTCGTTGCTGATGCGGAAGCTCTTGATAAAATCCTCTTCTCATATGACTGGCAGAAAAGTGATGACCCAACCGAGGACTATACGCTACTTGTCAAAGGAGTTAAAACTTGTATCCAACTTGCCTCAGTTTCTCAAAGAGGAAGTTCAGAGAGCATGGCCATTAACACTGAGTTGCTAGAAAAGAGGATGGTACTGAAACTTGGTTCTACTCTAACAGGTTCATAGAATTTCGTCGAGAGTACCACCTGCCTTTGTTCTAACCTCTATCCACTACGAAAAAGCGTTTGACAGCGTCGAAGCGAACGCAGTGTTATCAGTGCTTTTCGGCCAAGGTGTGGACCCATCCTGCAAAAGAACCCTAGCAGACTGTTATCGGAACTGCATGCAGCTCATATTTAGAGCTTCTTTATTGACATCCGTCCCACCATAACCATAGAAAAAGGGGTTCGACAAAGCGACACCAAACTGCCAAAGCCATTTGCTGCCGCACTGCAGTGAATAATGCAGTCATCAGACTGGGATGAGAAAGGCACACGTGTTGACGGAAAATTCCCGTCAAATCTTCGTTTCGCGGACGATGTCGTCATCTCTTCGAGTACTAGTGAAGCAAAGGCAAAACTCAGTGAACCCATTGAAATGGGGTAATAAGTGGATTACACATAAATCAGTTGACCCAATTCATGGGGAACCCATGGTGCAAAGGTGAACATATCGAACTCAATGGTTCCCTGATTACAGCGACCACCTTGTACGTGTACTTTGGACGTCGAATGAACTTTAAGAATAAAAACGAACACAAAACTCCGCGCTCAACTTTTCGATCCAGCAGTTCGGCGCTCCCATGCAGCGGAGACGTGGGACCTCGTACTTCAACCACAGCAAGAAATTTGTGCATCACACCCTGGGTGCTTGGACGACGACTTCCAAAATTTAACTAGCACTCACAACGTCTTATCGAAAAGCCCGACTCCGGCCGTTGAAACCTGCCCATCTACGGGATCCAGGAGAGTAAACATCGATGATAAAAAACAGATGGACCGGTGAGAACAGACCATCCAAGGGTACAAGCAAGTAAGTATGAGCAAGCATTTAGTGAACAACTTCTACTATCTCCGATTACTTGAACTGGAAGGATTGCCTCTTCATCCAGTATCAGTTGTAAATCCTGTAGTTATGAGTTTTGCACGACAATTGATGATCGCCTTTGCGGTGACTTGAGCATTTATTTCTTTAATGGTTCTCCACAATGTCTGCATTTAAACAAGTTTCATCGACATGACTATTCAACATGTGTCCTTTCATCGATAAGCTTGCACAAGATTGATAAACAACCTTATTCAGCTAACGTCTCAATGTCTTTGTCTTCTTCGGAGCCGATGAGGCGAGTGGTTGTCAACAGTCCTTCATATTCTTGATGAGGTGTTTTCGCCTTCGTATCAAGTTGGATCCTCTTCAGTGAAGCATCGCGCGAATGACGCATCTCGCCCGGCGACGCTCTTTTATAAGAGACTATAGTTGTTGATAATAATGATGGTCCGGTGATAATAACATGTTTCTTTCGGATATCAACATCTAACTGACCAGGAATCACTATAAAGTCTCCACCCTTATCACTCACTGGTAGTATAAGAGTTTTTGATTTCATTAACTCTCGAACGTGTCGTACCACATTCTTGGGCCGCTGTAACGTTAGAATTCAACTTTCTTTCGCGACAGTGGCGAAGGATTTTGAGAGTTTCGTCAAAAATTGTGCGGAAGTTAATATCTACTTCGCCATTAGGGTTTTGAAGTTTAAAGAACGCTCGAGGAGAGCGAATTGGTGTAAATACTCCCTTAATATTTCGGCCACTAATAATTTTTCAGGACATAAGCAGCGAAGTGGCAGAGATTTCATTAAATAAATTCGAAACCCTGGTTCGTCATGAAGAAATTTCCTTGTCCTAATTGATTTATAAATACGTTTATTTGTTGTTGCTGTTGTTGTTATTGTTGTTATTGTTGTTGTTATTGTTGTTATTGTTGCTGTTATTGTTGTTGTTATTGTTGTTGTTATTGTTGTTGTTATTGTTGTTGTTATTGTGGTTGTTATTGTTGTTATTGTTGTTGTTATTGTTGTTGTTATTGTTGTTGTTATTGTTGTTGTTATTGTTGTTATTGTTGTTGTTATTGTTGTTATTGTTGCTGTTATTGTTGTTGTTATTGTTGTTGTTATTGTTGTTATTGTTGTTGTTATTGTTGTTGTTATTGTTGTTATTGTTGTTGTTATTGTTGTTGTTATTGTGGTTGTTATTGTTGTTATTGTTGTTGTTATTGTTGTTGTTATTGTTGTTGTTATTGTTGTTGTTATTGTTGTTGTTATTGTTGTTATTGTTGCTGTTATTGTTGTTGTTATTGTTGTTGTTATTGTTGTTGTTATTGTTGTTATTGTTGTTGTTATTGTTGTTGTTATTGTTGTTGTTATTGTTGTTGTTATTGTTGTTATTGTTGTTGTTATTGTTGCTGTTATTGTTGTTGTTATTGTTGTTGTTATTGTTGTTGTTGTTATTGTTGTTGTTATTGTCGTACGTAGTTCACGTGGTTCACGTAGTTCACGCGGAGTCGCGAGCAAGACACGCCCCGGAGTCAAAATACCATTTTGAAATAGGGCGCCAGGTCACGTGTGATAGTGAGGCATTCGCCTTTCCGGTTCCTCTTTGGATTTTTGAAATTTATCCAAAACGCCTCAAGAGTTTTGCGCGTTGATGTTTTTAATTCTTGCGCTAGGATCCGCGCATTCACTTCAAAATCATCGCCGTTATGCTTTTGTGCCCTATGCGTACCTAGAGGGGTGTTTAAACGGATTTTAACATTCCCATCTAGATGTTCTTTTATGCAGACACAAAGTGGTCTACCCGTTTCCCCGATATATTCCTCGCCGCATGCATTACATGAGATCAAGTATATTATACCTAAACTCATGCAATCCCCGTCTCTCCCGTTAGGACAGATCATACAGTTTTCTGAGCTGCACAAACGATCATAGAGACGGTTTCGAACTAACTGGCGGCGTAGGGTATTGGGTGGGATGTCAATAATCGTTACGTAATTTTCAAGACCACTTTTTCTTAAGCACTGTTTAATGGCGTGTCTTACTTCATTTGATATGAAGGGCAACTTAAAGGGGATCCTACTTTCGTCTGAAATATTATTTTGGGAAACTAGCCAACGTTTTCCTGTAACCTGAGTGGCTTGTACTTCGTAGCCATTGGAAATGGTAATTTTCCATCCTTGCCTTGCCTTGCCATCGCTTTCATGTCTAAGGTGGAAGCTCCAGTTCTCGATCACCGACCCTTACTCTACTGTCGATACATAGACGACTGCTTCGTCGTCTGTTCCACACAAGAACAGATGGATGAGTGCTTTGAATTATTAAACCGACAGTCAGAGTATATAAAAATTACACGAGAAAAACCTACCGAGAACTGGCTTCCATTCTTAAACATCCAAACAAAGCTCTCAGTAAGTGGCTATTTAACAAAATGGTATCGCAAGCCAATTAGTAAAAACATTCTTGTTCACTGCCTCTCTCCTCATCCTTCACACATGAAAAAAGTATTTATCAAAAATATGTATCGTACGGCTAAAAATGTGTATACAGGAGAAGAGGAAAGGAAGGAATCGCAAAACCTGGCACGAAAAATTGCCATTTCCAATGGCTACGAAGTAGAAGCCACTCGGGTTAGAGGAAAACGTTGGGTAGTTTCCCAAAATAATATTTCAGACGAAAGTAGGATCCCCTTTAAGCTGCCCTTCATATCAAATGAAGTAAATCACGCCACTAAAAAGTGCTTAAGAAAAAGTGGTCTTGAAAATTATGTAACGGTTGTTGACATCCCACCCAATACCGTACGCCACCAGTTAGTTCGAAACCGTCTCTATGATCGTTTGTGCAGCTCAGAAAACTGTATGATCTGTCCCAATGGGAGAGACGGGGATTGCATGAGTTTAGGTATAATATACTTGATCTCATGTAATGCATGCGGCGAGGAATATATTGGGGAAACGGGTAAACTCCGCGTGAACTACGTGTGGGCCAGTCCCGCACGTAACATCACGGTGAGTGGCCTTTCTGTTCAATGTGGCGTCTATTTGAAAGTTTGATCTTCATTAATACTTTAACCTTCTTTTCCATCGAATAATAAAAAGTATTCTAACATAAAGTACGTCCAGGCTCTGAAGAAGGCGAAGTCACCGAAACGTCAGCCATCGATCAATAACATCAAAAACAACAACAACGAGAACGAAGATCTGTACCAACCTCGCGTAAGCTTAAGAAGGTTGCTGTTATTGTTGTTATTAATGTTATTAATGTTATTAATTTTTGCAAAACTCTGGACCGCAGGTGTCTATGGTGGGGAACGAACGCGCTATTATCCTTTCCGGGGAGTAACGCGTTCACCACCACACCATNCGTGAACTACGTGTGGGCCAGTCCCGCACGTAACATCACGGTGAGTGGCCTTTCTGTTCAATGTGGCGTCTATTTGAAAGTTTGATCTTCATTAATACTTTAACCTTCTTTTCCATCGAATAATAAAAAGTATTCTAACATAAAGTACGTCCAGGTTC